GCAGGGGGGGAGGGGGAGGACCAGGAGAGAGGGAGACGGGGAGCTCTGGCCAGGTTGGGGGGTGAGGAGCAGGAGGGAGACAGGCGGTGGGGGGGGGAGCTCATGCGGGGGGAAAGGAGCGGGGGGGGTTCAGGTGGGGGGGAGGAGAGGGAGGCAGGCGGGGGGGGAGGAAGAAGGAGCGGGGGGAGCTCAGGCGGGGGGAGGAGAGGGAGCTCAGGCGGGGGGGGGGAGGAAGAAGGAGCGGGGGGGGGTATTACCGTGCGGCTGGGTGAGGCCGGGCGCCAGCAGCACGGCGCTCAGGACGGTCACCGCCACGCAGAGGGTGGCCGAGGGGCCACATCCCCGGCCGGGCCCCGCCATTCCCGCGCCGCCGGGAGGGACTCCGCTCTCCCCGCCCCCGGGCGCTGCGGCTTCCGGCTCCCGGCCGGGGCGGGCTGTGCCCGGCGAGGGGAAGGGGGAGGGCGCTGGCAGCACGTGGCAGCGGAATCGGGCCCCGGGGCGGGCCCAGCGCTCCCCGGTACCGGAGAAGGCTGAAGCCGGGCTGAGGAGAGTCCCGGCCCGGGGGCGGGCGCCTCCTGCACCGCGAGCTCTGTGCGGTGCGCGCTCCGACCCGTGGCGTGAGGCGCCTGCGCCGGAGTCACTCCGGAGTCACGCCGGCTTGCGGGGGTGACAGACACAGCCTCTCTCCAGGGGTACCCTAATGTCCGGCCGTTACTGAGTGGGCAGGGCCGGGGCCGAGGCACCCTGCCAGGCGCGGTGCAGACACCAGCTCACCGGCTGACAGGACGGGAGGAGCCGGAGCCGGAGCCGGAGCCGGAGCCTGTCCCGGTAGGCGCATGGGCCTGATGGATCCCAAAGAAACCCAGACCCAGTGGGGAGCTGGGAGTTGTTCCCAAGTGCAGGGGCCTGTTTGACCTGTGTAGTGGCCCTCAGTTTGGGGGAAGTGATTTGCGTTTTGCAGTATTGAGGTGACTTGTTAATAAATATTGCCAGGGGAATTTCAGGTTTCGATTCCTGCACTGGGATAGTTAAATAGACGGGATTTGGTATGTTGAATGTTTGCAATCTGCCTTTTCTCCCTTGTCGTTCCCTCGATGCTTCATATTGTCACCCTCCGAATTGCAGAGGTAACAGCAATCTCGGGCACTGATCTCTTCAGACAGGCCCCTGTCCAAGGCCCCCTGGACCTCAGTGGAATGAGGCTCAGCCTAGGTTCAGGGACTACAAGGGGCTTGCAGCAGGACCTAAACATGCTCTGCTCTGTGATTGCTGGCACGGGAGAGTGCATTTCAGATACAGTTTGATTCTAAAGTTCACTGAATTAATCATTCGAAGTCTCTTTATTTGTTAATAGTCAGATTCTGCTCTTCTCAGGCACATACTGGCCCTGGATGCTTGGGATTTTAATTTTACTGCCTGTCCCCTGTTCAAGTGGTCTGTGTCCCTGTCTCTTTCAATTTCACAGAGGCAAGTCTGACAGCAGTTCTCTGTGCGAAGTAACAGACTGGATGTGGTGGAATACCCCACAGTGCACCAATACCAAGTGTGGTCTCAGCACTGAGGAATGCACAGTATGACAGCATCAGTCCTTCCTTCTCCCTGCCTCTGCAGCTCTGCTTTCCGCTCCCTGGGTCCATGCAGAGCTTCTTCATTTCCTAGACAAAGCAGATTTGTGGATTGGGGCCTATGTTTGTAAAAATCACAGAAAAGGACAGGGGACTGCGGAGGCAGGAGTAGAGCTTGAAGTGACTTTTTTTCCTCTTTTTTTTTAATCAGCTGACTCTATTTCACACTGATGGTGTCTCGTTAAAAATCTTATGTAGTATTTGGGTGGCTAGAGAGGGAGGGTTTCGCAAAAAGTCCCCCAAACATTTGTCTCTCGTCTTTCCTTGTCGCAAAAGAGTGTTGTGTTTACTGGGTTGTTTGTGTATTACAGAGAATGTAGAAGATAGCAACATGGACAAAAAACTCCAATACGTTAAAAAAGAGCTGCTCCGAAGGGAAATTCCTCCAGTCTTGTTGGTGCTGCTGCTTCTAGCTGTGCTGCTCCTGAATTTCCTTCTGTACATGCATCTCAACAATGTGTCCATCACCACCGGGCAGCCTGACGTGGACTCCAGCCTCTGCCCATTTGGGTACTTCAGATTAGGATCATTGAAAAATTGCTCGCCGTGGCTGTCTTGTGAAGCCATAAATACAGAAGTCAGGAAACTGAAGTGTGTTGGTGAAGGGGCTGTGAAAAAGGTTAGTATTATGTTGGATAGGTGGATCTCCAAGAGGAAAAGTTCACATGGTGTGTTAGCTGATTATCAGTGCTTATGCTGGGATAATTGTCTCCACAATAGATAATTATTACAGAAACACAGAGTTATGATGACTATGGATGGCATAAACAGAATATGGAGGAGATGATCTCATAGAGTCAGACTTTGCCTCACTTACACTGAATGGTAACTTACTCTCTCTGCAAGAAGTGCCACTGAAATCAACAGCACTGCTTGCGGAATATGATGCTTCTCAGGGCTGGTCTTCACTAGTGAAGACACGCTCAAATCGATGAGAGAGCACTCTCCCATCAATTTCTGTACTCCACCTCAATGAGAAGTGGAAGCAATGTTGTCGACATAGTGTAGTGTGGACCTTGCAGTAAGTAGATCTAAGCTACAGCGACTTGAGTTATGTTTCTACTAGGGCTGTCAAGCGATTAAAAAAATTAATCATGATTAATCGTGCTGTTAAACAATAACAGAATTCCATTTATTTAAATATTTTTGATGTTTTTACATTTTCAAATATATTGATTTCAATTATAACACAATACAAAGTGCACAGTGCTCACTTTATTTTTTATTACAAATATTTGCACTGTAAAAAACAAAAGAAATAGTATTTTTCAATTCACCTCATGTAAGTACTGTCATGCAATCTCTTTATCATAAACGTTGAACTTACAAATGTAGAATTATGTAAAAAAAAAAACGGCATTCAAAAATAAAACAATGTAAAACTTTAGAGCCTATAAGACCACTCAGTCCTACGTCAGCCAATCGCTCAGACAAACAAGTTTGGTTACAATTTGCAGGAGATAATGCTGCATGCTTCTTGTTTACAATGTCACCTGAAAGTGAGAACAGGCGTTCACATGGCACTGTTGTAGCCGGCGTTGCAAGATATTTACGTACCAGATGCGCTAAAGATTCATATGTCCCTTCATGCTTCAACCACCATTCCAGAGGACATGTGTCCATGCTGATGACGGGTTCTGCTCGATAACAATCCAAAGCAGAGCGGACTGACTCATGTTCATTTTCATCATCTGAGTCGGATGCCACCAGCAGAAGGTTGATTTTCTTTTTTGGTAGTTGGGTTCTGTAGTTTCCACATTGGAGCATTGCTCTTTTAAGACTTCTGAAAACATGCTCCACACCTCATCCCTCTCAGATTTTGGACAGCACTTCAGATTCTTAAACCTTGGGTCAAGTGCTGTAGCTACTTTTAGAAATCTCACATTGGTAGCTTCTTTGCATTTTGTCAAATCTGCAGTGAAAGTGTTCTTAAAATGAACAACATATGCTGGGTCATCATCCGAGACTGCTATAACATGAAATATATGGCAGAATGAGGGTAAAACAGAACAGGAGACATACAATTCTTCTGCAAGGAGTTCAGTCACAAATTTAATTAACACATTATTTTTTTAACGAGCATCATCAGCATGGAAGCATGTCCTCTGGAATGGTGGCCAAAGCATGAAGGGGAATACGAATGTTTAGCATAAGCGTCTTGGCTCTCCGAGCTCTGGTCAAGTGTAGGTAGTCTCTTGGTCTATCCAAGGCCGTGATCAAGTGTCTTGATGTTTTTGGTCTTTTGGCCTCGAGATGAAAACCTTGTCTTTGCTTCTGGGACCTTGAAGTGAAAAAATTCTCTAAGTTATATCTGGCACGTAAATACCTTGCAACACCAGCTACATAAATGCCATGTGAACGCCTGTTTTCGCTTTCAGGTGACGTAAATAAGAAGCAGGCAGCATTATCTCCCGTAAAAGTAAACAAACTTGCTTGTCTTAGCAATTGACTGAACAAGAAGTAGGACTGAGTGGACTTGTAGGCGCTAAAGTTTTACGTTGTTTTGGTTTTGAGTGCAGTTATGTAACCAAAAAAAATCTACATTTGTAAGTTACACTTTCACTATAAAGAGATTGCACTACAGTACTTGTATGAGGTGAATTGAAAAACACTATTTATTTTATCATTTTTACAGTGCAAATATTTATAATAAAAATAATATTATAAAGTGAGCATTGTACACTTTGTATTCTGTGTTGTAATAAAAATCAATACATTTGAAAATGTACAAAAACATCAAAAAATATTTAATAAATGTCAATTGGTATTCTATTGTTTAACAGTGTGGTTAATCACAATTACTTTTTTTTAGTTAATTGCGTGAGTTAACTGCGATTAATCAACAGCCTATTACTAGCGTAACTCAAATCGCATAGCTTAAATCGACCAGCAGCAGTAGTGTAGGCAAGCCCTCAGATCGATTAAGGGTGGCAGGAGAGAGAGTGGTCTATATAAGTTCTCTCTTGTAGACAGTTTGATGTAGTGGCCGATTTGCATTGAATCCATGTCATATGCTCATGAGGGGAGCACAAGAGATCCGTAAATACTATATGCAGGAATTATCATGTCAGTACTGTGTAGCTAGCAGTAACTCCACTGTAACATGTAGGTGTATACAAAGACTCACCTAATAACTTCAGTAGCATTGAAGTCTAGTTTGTAATTGTGTAACTTGTTCATTTAACAGCATTGTGTCGCATGAACGTATAGCTTGCAGTGTTGTGGGTATTCCATTACCTGCAGGTCCATAATAGCTTCTACTGATCAGTAAGAAAAGGTTCCAAATGTTTTGCTTGTCTCTTGCTGTTTTTAGGTCTTTCTTTCTGAATGGAAGGAAAACAAAGTATCCCTTTCCCAGCTCGCCAACTCAGAGCTGAAGGAAGATTTTCTTCATGGACTGAAGATGCTGAAGGCTCTCCAGAGCAAGTATGTTGTCAGACTGCTTGGCTATTGCGAGAAGCAGTTCACGGTCCTTACCCAGTATCACCCGTTAGGCTCCCTGAAGAGCCTGAATGAAATGCTGGACCTTCCCAGATATAAGGGCTTGAATACTTGGCATCGCAGATTCATGCTCGCAATAGACTATGTGAGCATCATCCATTATTTGCACAACAGTCCTTTGGGCACCTTAGTAATGTGTGATTCCAATGACTTGGACAAGGTGTTATCGCAGTATCTGCTGACAAGTGACTTTCATGTTCTGGTGAATGACTTGGATGCCTTGCCTCTCGTGAACAAGAGCGCTGGCAGGCTAGTGAAGTGTGGCCATCGGGAGCTCCAAGGCGAGTTTGTAGCTCCTGAACAGCTTTGGCCCTATGGGGAGGAGGTGCCATTTGAAGATGACCTCATGCCTCCATATGACGAGAAGACGGACATATGGAAAATCCCTGATGTCGCCAATTTTTTCTTGGGCCACGTTGAAGGGAGTGATATTGTCAGGTTCCATTTGTTCGACATCCATGCTGCATGTAAGAAGAAGAACCCAGCTGAAAGGCCTTCCGCCCAGATGGTCATGGACACATACAGGAAAATGTTAACATTGCTGTTCAGAGAGGCTGCCATGCCTGGTACCAGGGAAATGTTATAAATAACTGTGAGAAGACATACAGGTACTCTGGTTGATGTCCTGTTATTTATTTAGCACCCACAGGGTGCTAGGTCCTTTGCAGACTGGTAGCAGAACAAGGTCCCTACCCAAAGAACAAAGGAGACAAAATTGACACTAGTGATGGTTTGAAAAAAGGTAAATCTGTTTCATGAAAAAAATTGAAATGTTTTGACCCAACCCCCCTAATTTTGAGGGGTTTTAGTGGTTTTTTTGTATCTCCCCCTCTCCCTTTTCCTTTTTTGCCACTGGAAGAGGAGGGGCAGGGAAGGAAGATAAAGCGGGGGTGGTATTTTTGGTTTTGAAAAAAAAAGTGTGTTTTTTGTGTGTGTTTTTTTTTAATCAAAACATTTGAAAAATTCTTTTTCAAAAATTCCACAAAAAATTCTGGCTTCTTCTTTTTTTTTTAAAGGCCAGTTTTTGTCAAAAAATGGTTT